GGGGGGGGGGGAAGAAAAAAAGCTGCTTCCTGCACTACATAAATATTGGCAAGCTTTTAGTCTTGTCTTTCATGCTGAGCCTATTGGGCAAAGTGGAGTGAGTTTGTGAGCTTTTCCAAGCGAGCCTGAAGGGGTTTGTTTGCCAGAGATTGACTCTCTGGTGAACAGATGTAGTTTAAATATACGTGCTTAAAAGGTATCTTTTTTATCGTGATTTCTTGCTATATGTTAGAGCACAAATCACCAGACGCGGTCTGGAAGCTTTTATCTATTGTCAAGAGTAAATCTTCTTTTTTAGATTATGGCATGTCTGGTGCACCTTAGCAGGTTAGGAGGTTTCGGTAAGTCTAGAGGGCAGTGGTTATAGAGGCATTAACATTGTAGGACTAATTGGAGTTCCTGGGTGCCCTGTTAAAATAACCCTTGTCATCATTTATGCTAAAGATGATACCCCTCTGGCAGGCTGCCAGAAGACAGTTCTGTACATCTGCTTTTAACCCTTTTGCTTGCTGTCGTTAAGAGATCCTAGCCTGCACTGCTGGAGACAGTGGGATAGAACTGGGGCCTAAAACCACGGATCTGAGGTCATCATGTCATCTCTGTCAGTCTGGGAAGCTGGGGGGGATTTTCACAAAGTCTGGGAATCTGATTGCCGGGAGGGACTTTGTCCCTTGAACAGCTTTGTGTCATTTGTTACTGTCTATTGTGAAAAGAAAGGGGGAAAAAAAATATTAAAAATAAAATAAAAGGAAAAAGGCTATTTGCTTAATATTTTGTGCAGTGTAAGGAAGGGTTGGTTGTATGATGAAAACTGGAAATTAGTAGTTACTTTCAGGCATACCAAAATAGCAATGAATACGAGGAATGTGGAATGCGAAGTGCGGGAGGCAACCAAAAAAAAAAAGCCTGAATTGCAGGTACACTTCTTAAAAACGCATTGAAATCATGATTTGTTTCTTAAAGATGCAAGTGAAAGTAGTGCTCAAGTGCACTCAGTGAATGAAGCACGAATTAGTGTTAACTTTTGCCTTGTTTCCTTGTGTACTTCTTTCAGACTGAATGTGTAACAGGCAAAGTGATTTGTTGTTGATGTTGAAGGCAATTGAATATTTTTGGCAGGACTTAAAGTTTTAATGTTAACAAACAAAATTATGTAGCTGGTACTAAAATGGCTTACGGTGAAGACATCTGCAGTATGTATTTAGGTTCTCATGCTGCCTGCTACTCACAACAAATCAGGCAGGACAGACAGAATCAACTTCTCTTCAGTCCACCTTGTTCTATAGAAGGTAATTCTTTAATCTGTATCCGATCACGCGAGATGAATTTCCTTTTCTGCTTTTCTGAGAGATGTAGGTTTTGTAGAACTTTCTCTTTTTTGGGGAGGGTAAAGGGAAAGGACTCAAGGAATATGTTTATCAAATATTTGTGATGATTCTTGATGCCTCGTCTGCCTGTTCGTACAGGTTTTATTTACATAACGCTGTATAGGCCCACCTACTCTACTATAACTCAAGTTTAATACATTACATTTATTATTTTTATTTTTTTTAATAGGAAGTATGCTTCCAGTTTTCTGTGTAGTGGAACATTATGAAAATGCCATTGAGTATGATTCTAAGGAGGAGCATGCAGAATTTGTGTTGGTGAGAAAGGATATGCTTTTCAACCAACTGATTGAAATGGCATTGCTATCACTTGGCTATTCTCACAGCTCTGCTGCCCAAGCAAAAGGTAAATAAGATTACGAAAAGGCACGATGAATTGTGTTTGTTTGTGGGGCCTTGGGGGAGGGGCAGGATTTCTTTCAGGAATGCAATGCATGTTTTACTTCTTAAACTTCTTGCAGATTCTGTCTCTATTTTTTCCCCCCTAAATGTACCATTGTTTGGTTAGCGCGTGTTTTGTTCATGAGGAATGTGGAGGTAGATTCAATTTTTTGTTTTTGTTTTTGTTTAAAGAAAAAAAAAGACTTCATCTGAATCATTAGTATGCTTATTGACCTTAATAATCTGCTCCACTGAGGATCCACAAGGAAGTGTAAAGCATATTTGAGCAGATGGACTGTTGAGAGTCAACTTGCATTTATGACTGAATATCCAGCTCTGTTTCTTTTATTTTGTTCCTGATGGTTTTACAGACTGCAAAGTATTTATTTATTTATTTTCACTCAGTCCTTGCATTGCAAAATCCGTTCTAATTTATTAAGAGGAATTATATCATTAAGAGGCATTATATCATGTCCTATTGAATTCATGGGAACTTAGGAAAATACGCTTCTCTACATATTAAAAAATCTCTACAGTAATGCATTTGTGTAATTTAATAATACGGATAAATCATATCTTTAGTGGTGTGTGGGTGGGGTTTTTTTGAGGGGGGTGTTCTTTTATTTTGCCAGATTTAAGAGGCTAGAAACAAAGGTAGTGATTTTGTTAAAATCAGATATTTCTTTTGCCCCTAGGAATTAACAGGTAAATAACTTTTTTCAATTTTCCTGCTCTTCTTGCCCACTCCCTCTTCCCGCAAAAAATAAAAATCCCACAGGGCTTATCCAGGTCGGGAAGTGGAATCCAGTTCCACTCTCCTATGTGACAGATGCCCCTGATGCTACGGTAGCAGACATGCTGCAAGATGTGTATCATGTGGTCACACTGAAAATCCAGTTACACAGGTAAGTTGCATACCAGTTCTGGGACGTGAACTGTTACTTCTCTGCTCTTACTGTTCATATTGCTTGTATTTAATTCCTACTGTGCTGTGAGCTCTAAGTACAAAGGCTTATCTAAATTCCTTTTTGGTTACTCTAATTCTTCTTTAACTTACAGTATACTATTGCAGAAAACTTTTATAGCTTTGATACATAGATTTTCTTTGGATATCTCATTAAAACTATATTGCATTTTAGTCAATTAAATGATGCATTACAAGAAGGCATTTTACATAAAGTTTACTTAAGAGAAAAATATTTTTGCATATCATGAACAGTACCATCTGTGTGCATTTCGTAAAAGAATGACTTGCTCGCACTTATTGTTGCTGTCGAGGTTCTTAAATTTCACGGTAACAAAAAAGAAAAACGGTTAATATATTAATGCTTTTCATGATCAGTCGTGAGAAAGCATTACACCTTAAATTGTTTTACCAAGCGCATCAGAGCAGGAAGGTAGAAGTAACATGAAAAAATAGTCGCCACATGCAGCTGATGTATAATTCATGCATCAATACAGCAGATGTGTTGTATAAAGTAATTAACTAATCGGAACAATCAGGAGACCGAGAGCAATCTCCAGATGCATCTGCTTGATGCGCAAAATGAAATCTGTCTGTCTTAAAGGAATGTTCTGCAGCAGGATGCAATCTTGTAATAATCCCTTTTCTAATCTGTGTTTCAAATAGTTGCCCTAAACTGGAAGACTTGCCTCCTGAACAATGGTCTCACACAACAGTAAGAAATGCTCTGAAGGACTTACTGAAGGATATGAACCAGAGTTCATTGGCCAAGGAATGTCCCCTTTCACAGGTACTTAGCATAACACATAATAAATAATAAAGCACTATAGGCAACACTGATGTGAGATTTGAGATTTCTACAGACTGTAGCAAGTAGTACCAGTGGAGTGAATCTGCCAAGAATGCAAATTCATTTGACCACTTCATGATCTTTATAAATATGCCTGATTCATTTTGAACGTAGTCTTACAACATTTCCCATGGGGAGTCGTGAAAGGTTGTTTACACCACACTAAAATTGTCTCACAACAAACTGGATTTTAACTGGTTTTTGTCTTCAGACTTTGAACTGCTTTGATTTAACTACTTTTTTTCAAGCACATATGTTCAAGATGTTAAAAGGCTCTTTACTTACTGCTGTCAAAAGTACTATTGAATCTGAATGCTTGTTAGATAACCTACAGTAGTTTTAAATGCTAATTCATAAAATGAGACAGTCTTTGGCATGCTATATGAGAAAGGAATAAAGAATAAAGCTCTTTGGATGATGTGCTGTTGTTGCAAACAAGCAAAGGAAAATCAGTCATTTATTAGTTCTAATCAAAATATACCTAAACAACAATGAGGCCTCAGTTTATGCATTGCTAAACTGATGGTTTTCTCAAGCTTTAGCTGGATTGTTGGTTTTTTTGCCATTCTTTTGTCTAATTACTGTGGAAGCGCAACTTATTTTTGAATGCATGATGGTGTCCAATGATTCTGTGGTGGGAATCTCGTATTTATTTTTACCTTTTAAATTCTAAAATGTTTTATGTTGTGGTGCAGTGGAGACAAATTCAGTATACAAATAAATGATGCTAGCTGTGGTAGGAAGGGGGAAAAAAGAAATCGAGGAAGTAAAGGTATTTTTATGGGGATTTTATTTCTCTTGCTCAGAATATTGGAGTCTTTGTCTCCAAAAGACTTCAGTTAATCTATAGAGGACTACTCACTTTCTCTGTATATCTTTCCAGCAGATATATTAGCAGGCTGTTTTCCCATCACTTTTTTTTCCCCTATGGTTAGATTTTTTTTCAGTGATGTGGCTCCAATATAGGAAGTTTTGAAGTGGAAATAATAAAAATTATCTTCACTGGTTGCAAGCCATTCCAGAAATATGTCTGCATATTATGTATGTGTACGTATCTTGTACGTACCTACTGTAAAAGCATGTGAGCTTTTGCACTTCTCGCTTACAGGGGCTGCAGGTAATTGGGGATTTTTCTCCATTTAAATCTAATAGTGCTTGTTTTTACTTGATGCTGGAAATCAAGTACATTCTGTTGGGATGGAATATTTCCTTTCTATTTGGGCATTGTATTTCACATAGCAGCTTCAGTATATATGTAGATGATGCTATGCTAAAGCAGAAAAAAAAGTTTTAAAAGGAATACTTCACTAGGGACACTATCATGGTGTATTGGAGACAATTCAGTAATTACACTCTTTTACAATTTTTGGAAAACTATACTGAATTTTTATATAACAATTTTAATGGACAAAAGAAACATCATACCTAGTAACAGCTCTTGAGGTTAGTGCTTGAGATGACCAATACCTCAGATTACAGAACTCTGATTTAGGGCCATTAATTTACTGTTCTGCTCCTTTTTATTTGTAAAAGAATATGCTTAAAGCAATGAGCTTCTTTTTATTGTTAAAAGCATGCTTATGACTGTTGTCATCTCTGTCTTCACCAGCGCTTCAGTAGTTGGGTTGCAAGAATTTAAATGACTTCTGCTTTCCTTTTAAGACCAAATAATACTAAGCTTAAAATACATTTATTTATTCCTAACTCCTGGAAAAACAAGCTGTTACAGTGGTTGATCAAGAGCCCATCGGTTATTCTGAATCTTTCCATTTTCCTCCAGGAGCTTGAGGGAGGACACGTTGATCTGACAGTGTCTTTTTCACATGGCTAAATTGACCTGAATGCTTCCCATATTTGCCTAACTAATAACTCTTTGTATCTAGCATCTATGGAAGGGGCACTGATTTAAGAGTGTCTGTGTTACATTAAAGTTAGAGAATTGCCCTGCAGCGGTGTGCTGCTGCAACAGAGGTGAGAAGCAGGAGCAAGGCAGGGTTCAGAGGCAATGTTTCCTGAGAGGGTCCATCAAAGTGGCAGCATGGGAGGTTCTTCTGAGAGCAGAAAAGTGGTCTCTCCTGTTATGTACTTCCACAGGCATAGGTAATGCCATATGAAGTGCTTCATCACAAATGCAAACTAATGCAGTGACACCGTACCATAACTTATTAACACTGTTATGGATATAATTTATTAACCACAGAAAAATGACTCAAAGTGGAAACGAGGGTAGCTATCGTTTTCTGTCACTGTCATTAGCAGTACTCTACTTTGTGTAGGTACGGAAGGATTTGTAAAGTTGTAAAGTATTTAGGTTGCTGTGCTCAATGTGTGGCACCTCCAAAGCCTCATCTAAGTACGGAAAACTGAGGATCATCATCCAGTCTTAGAATTTACTATATTTTCTTAATAAATCTTCCATTTTGTGTATTTAAAAAATGTTCATATTTCTTTAGAATACTGATACTCTATGTACTGCAAAAAAACAAACCAACTATTTTTATAGTGTAGATATATTTAATAGCTTGAAAATATGTGTGCAAACAAACTTTGAGATCCAGTTTGTCTTAATTGTAAAGTCTTGAAAACTTAACAGCATCATCTACTTGAATGGGTTTTGTCTTTTTTTTTTCTTCCTTTTATTTGTATTTGCATTTTCTTCCTTGTCCAGCTAAAACCATGGGGTGTATAGGCCTGATCTCTTCACACCTTCCTCAGTAAAATACCAAGGACTCTTGTTGTCATTAGAAGAGTTGAATACATGGTATTTTCTGAAGCTACTGTGATTGTCTCGCTCTGTGTCTGCTGTGGCCAGGCTTATTGTTCAGTGTCTGAGCCTGCATCACAGGAAATCCCTGTGGACATGACTTGGAGTTCTCAGGATGGACCAGAGCAAATGCATGGCTCTGAATTGCCATGGAATTGCAAGCATCCATCCAAAGCATTTAGTCTCAAATTTTTGGTACCAAGCAGGCAAAGTAAAAGGACGCTGCAAATTTTGCATGGAAAAGTCAAGCCTGTCCTGAGTTACGTGCTGCAGTGTGGATTTTCATGCTGTACCTTGGGTTTGCAGATGTTTATTGTTAGACTAGCATCATACGCAGATGCCAGGTTGAAGACTCCTTGTGTTTGATACACATGGCTCACTTCACTTCTGCCTCCTCTCCAGACATCTCTTGATGGGGAAGGAACTTGCAGTTTAATCTAGGGCTCAATTTTGGGCCACCTTGTGTACTCCATTAAATTGGTACATCTCACGAGTGGCTTAGATCTCATTTTCCCTGCCGTTTTGGCTCTTTAGTCTCCAAAGGGTCATAAAGAAATTGTTCTACCATCAATTCTTATTTCCAGCTGCTTCCATAGAAGCTCTACCTCAGTCTGTTGGGAGCTGCTCTAAAGTGTTCATGTAGGCAGGCCTGTTGCATTTATTTGTTTAATGTAGTCCTTCCATCTCTCTACTCGGCCTTAGTCCTAGCATTTTCATGCTTCACTTTCACACAGTTCTGCTCTGTTTTGGTTTTTAGTGCAGAAGTCTCATATTACTTCCACAGTTAAAATAAGTGAAATACTACAGGCTGTATTTAGATTGATATTAGTAAAGTTTTTTTGTTGTTGTTTTGTCCCTATTGAACCATTGTCTCTCCCTCTCTCTCAGTGTATATATGTACTTAGATAAGCTTTTATGAGGGAGAGGAGAGCAACATGGGCTATTTACTGGCCTGAGAAAAGGCTGAAAATTATTTTGATAATTCTGGAACAAACTCACTATATGCTTTTGAACATTTAGCTGTACCCCTTATCTTGAGTTCCTGTAACCTTTTCCACAAAAGGAAGATAACAAGTCACCTACCAATGAAGAGACTGTGGAGATTAATTAGGATCTGGGCACTGGTTTGAAAATACAGCAGTGATCAAATGACATTGACTTTTTTTCTGGTATTATCTCAGCTGATATATTTTTTTCTTACAAAAAGATTTTCCAAATGATTGTTGTTAGTTTTTGCAGACACTTTATCAAACCACCGCAAAAGCACCTCAGAAACAAGGTCCGCTCTTTCTTCCTCCATAGTATCATGAAACATCTTTTTTTCATTTTCCTTTACTCATCCTTTGGAGCTTATTGTATCTAGCCTGACTCTTAGGACGACTAATAGTGCATTATAGATGAGAAATTCCAGACCCATTGTATAGTAGAATCTCAAATCTGGTGGTTTATTTTCTAAAATATTTTGTAATGATGTGCATGATTTCCATTTAATATGTTCAGAGGCTGTGGTACTTACGGACATAGCCATGTACAGGACATTGCATATTTTAAAAAAATTTTGAAGGTATTTGTGTGTGCTGCCTGCCCCCCTTGCCTTTAGTGTGTTTTACATAATTTTGCTCTTGATGATGAGGGAATGGCATTTATTCAGTTAGAGGGATATACACTTGCATTCCTTGAGAAGAATATGCACACAGAACAAGTGTTGGCATGATACTGAAGTCTGAATAGTTCTGCAGTTGGGATAAATATATCTGTCCTGACTGCATTTTGATCAAACTCCCGTGCTATAGTGAATGATTGCCTGCACGTCACATGGGCACAATATAGATCATATACTTCCACTGTCCTGAATTTGCATGCTGCTTTATGCAGACATCGTGCAGTGTTTATGTGATCTAGCAGAGATGCCAGACAGAAATCTTGCTCAGAACATCAGTGTTTCTTAGTTCACCTGATCTGGAGGCATCTGGTCATCATAGCAAATAAGCAGCATAATGGAAATCCTCTGGAATCTCCTCGCTGCTGTTGTGACCACACATCCCTCAAGCCTCCCCCCTCAAAATCCCAACCAAAACCAGTTGCATTTGCTAAAATTAAAATTTCCAGACCTATAAATATCCAAGGAGTGAGCTATTAAGAGGTGACAAAATGCATATGTTTTATGAGCAATTTT